GTAACTGATGATATGAATGTGCGTCCAGAATCTCGAAAAAACATATACAATTAAAAAAACAATTATTTTTTTAGAGCTTCGAAATTTTTAGATAGAGGAAATAGAGATTTCATAATAGTTTTATTATTAAATTTTGCTGATTCCTATTTTGATAAAATGACTAGTTACGTTATTAATCTTTTTTTTGACATTTTCTTGACCTATTTATTTCAATATTTCCTTCAATATTTATATTTTCCTTATTACTCTCTACCAATGTTCGCTCTGATGCTTCTTTCTTGAAATTGGCACTGTACCTTCCTATTCACCCTTTCATATCCGCTGATTGTGAAAGTTTGACCTTATCTTGTATCCCTCATTTACCAACTTGTACCTCATTTTTTTGTCATGTGAAACGTGATTCATAATTTTAGTAGCTCAACAAATTTGTTGTTGATCCTCAAAACTTTTTCGAATCCCCAAATAATAACAAAAACAACAGCGTCACTTATAAAGCCCATCAACCTCACGGAAAATTTATCAAAGTTGATCGAATGAGTAATTGAAACTTATTTTATTACAAGTACATTTTACTTTCTTTTTTTATATAAAAAAATATATATACATATACATAGTACACTTAATAATATATTTTAAATCAATTTTTTTTTAAAAGAAAGAATATTTTGTAATAACCAATTCCATTCCTCCAATTTTGCTTTATAGCAATCAATTAGAATGTAAAATGTGTGGAAAAATCTATAAAAGGTCTTTAGCATTAATTAAACACAAAAAAACAATTCAAGAAATTAATACAATTAAACCAATAATGTATATTTTACCTGAAAGAGCTATAGAAGAAACACGTCAAGCCTTAGTTTATCATATTAAAGAAAAACTAAAACAAAATTCAAGACACGTAGGAAATGTTAATATTATATTTAGTTGCACTAAGAGTCAATTTTTTGGTGTTTTTAAGAGATTTATACATAATTATTATCCTAAAACCGAAATCTACAAATGTATATTTAAAGGTGCTGATGCATATTCTACTTTGGTATATATATTAAAAGACAAAAATTGGGGAATAAAATATTTTCCACAATATCAAAAAACATTGGTTTTATTTCATCAACCTTCAAATCCAAATGATTTAGATCCCCTTCAAGAATTAAATGAATCTGATCCTCTTTTAGAACTTGATCCTCTTCAAGATAAAATATTAATAAATACAAAAAAAAGAATGCACAAGTCAAGACCTATTCAAATTATTATTGGGTGAAAAAAAAAATTAAATTAGATGCACATAATATAGCAAATTCAGCAGGATTTGTTTTTTTAAATTTTATAATTTCAAGAATTAGAGATATTAAAGATTAAATATAAATAAATGTAAATAATAAATTTATAGAACAAATAAATAAAATAAAAAAATTAAAATGTAATTTTTAATGATATAAATTATAAATGTAGTCATCACAGTTCATTTGTAATTATAATTTTACAGTCAGATTATAATTATTTATTGTATTTATATTATAATTACATAATAGTTTCACGATCACAGTTGCATGAACATGGTTTTGCGATCATATTTCGCGATCATGATTTCGTGATCATCAATTAATTACTAATATGATAATATAATTGTAATTTATATTATAATAACAATTATTTTATTATTATAAAACAACACACTATTTTATTACATTATATTGTATTTATATTATAATTCATAATAGTTTCACGATCATGGTTTCATGATCATGGTTT